TATTACACAACGTCTCATATGTCCTGCATGTTTTTCTTTGATTTAACAATCGTTCCAAATGGTTCATTACGGTTAGAAACATTTTCAAATTATTTTTTTTTTTTTTTTTTTTACAAACTCTGATCGATTTTTAATGATGCCTTATGTAAATAAATCACTTGAAAACCATATTGAACTGTTTGGAAAGCTTACTAAATCGAGGCCTACGTCAACTGTTATCCTACAGAGAGAATCTACAGAAGCTTCCACAGCTCTCTGCCATCCACCACAACAACTGCATGTTCATTGCACACCATCTATTGACACTGGGCCACCAGTTCAGATACCATCTTCCAACTCCTATCAGTGATGGTGCTGCAACGTTTGTTGACCTGGTTCCTGGATTCAGAAAACTCGGTAATTCTTTAATCATTTTCTATGATTTAATCATGAGGAGATCACAAATGGTTTCCTGCTACTTTTGTCCAGTTAAGCAAATTATTTTTATATAATGCGTGTCCTGGATGGTCATCTCTCATGAAGGGGTTAAGTTACACATTTTTTGTTCTAATCTTATTTATATTTGTGGCACAAATGTAGAAAAATACAGGCTCTCTAATGTAATACATGGAAATTAAAACCATACAAATGAATTATTTCCTAAGTCAGGTAGTAAAAATTTTGCTGATCAATGCAGTTTTAACAGTTTCCCAGTTTACATTGTTTAGCGTCTTTTTATCTTAAAAATAACTTATTTGTTTAACAGGCACTGAGGCTTTTCTGGCCCAAATGCGATCTCAGAAAGCAGATCTTCTTGAAAGGTTATCAAGCGCAAAAAACTTCAGTAATATGGAAGATAAGGAGAATTACATTGCAGCCCACAAGGCAATACGACAAGTGAGAACTGACACTTTTGGGCTTCAATCTGAGTCTTTTAATATCAATGCTATGCTGCATGTCTATGTGATTATACAGTACTTGCCCTCATCTCTCAAAATGTGACTAGTTCCTGTGATTACATGTTTCAGGTGACACTTTATCCATCCTGAAGTAAAAATGTATACATTGTACAAAACCTTTACATTAGTAAGCAATCTTCACATATATGTTTGAGTTAAAACTGAGTTTCTTATTAATGTGTTATTCATTGTTTGCATTATCCAGAGGATCGGTTACCACTCTAAACTTTTTTGTTTTAAGGTTATACACCAGCTGGGTTGCTTGGGAAAAGTATGGCAGGATGTGCTTCCTGTGGCAATATACTGCAATGCAATGGGTACCCTGCTAAACACTGCCATCATGGAGATGATCAGCAAAATTGCAGCATTAGAGGTGCGTCATTTTTACTCCAAGGATCTCTTGATGCTTTTTTAAAAAAAATATATATATTTTTTTAAATTTTACTTCTTTAAAACCTGGTCTACTGTCTTCTTAGGATATCTCCACTGAGGATGGGGAGCGATTATATACTTTGTGTAGGACAGTGATCGAGGAAGGTCCCCTTGTATTCACTCCTCTGCCTGAAGAAAGCAAAAACAAGAAGTATCAGGAGGAGGTACCGCTGTATGTGCAGAAATGGATGAAATTCAAAGAACTTATAATTATCTTGCAGGCCAGTCTCCAGGAGATTGTTGATAGGTAAGTAATCTACTTCTTTATTTACAAAGTACGCTTTGGACATACTTCCATAGTGCTTCTTTTTCTGTCCTAAACTGCCCTATTTACCCTTTCTTATCCATTGGCTATGCATGGTCTACTACAAGAAAACACATATTAGAATGCATTCAATTTTTACTATATGCTTTATCATGTGTAAACCGAAAACATTACTGCTCTGTCTGTAGGCGCATAAAACGTTTTATAAATTTCTCTAGGGACATCTTTAGACTCGACCTCTAAAACCTGGTGTGTCACAGCTTGACATCCACCTGTGTATTCACTAAACTGCAGATTCTTGAGAATCCACTGGGAAATGGAAATTTTACCCCAAATAACCGAATTGAAAAAATATCTAAAATATAAGATATAAATACATAAAAAAAAAAAATCTTTTTTTTGCCTATATAAAACATATTCGTGAGGTTTGTGAGTTGACATTTTAAACGTGTTTACTTAGTACAATGTGGGAGGAAAAGTATTTCGATATAAGGTCAATGGTATGAAGAACAAAACTGGCCGAGTGACCAACAAATTATTTGATTAAAATAGAACTTAAATTTATTAAATGTAAATGAAAAAGTAAAGGTAAGTAATGTACAGAAAGAAAAATTAGTTAATACATAATTCGGTGTATGTGTGTGTGAAAACACACACACACACCCCTCCTCTCCCCCACGCGTCGGGGTTCGAGTGTATCCCAGACTCCGTTTGTATTGTTACCGATATAGACACTATTTACCTACGCACTGAAGGAAGGATTTCCCTTCTCATCTCTTTGGTTCAAGTCCAGGTACAGAAACTTTCGGCAGTTGCTCAGACTAGCGTTAGTTTTGTCTTGAATCCCAAGTCCAGGTGCCCTCGAAGGCACAGATTAGTAGACTACACAGCAACGCTGATTTTTGCAGCAATCAGTTAACACTCCTTCCATCACAATTGATATAATCGGCCCTAGAAGGCACACATTCACTTTAGGGTTGTTATCTGACTTGCTGGAATTAGAGTTCAGACAAACTTGGCTTTCTCAGAACGCACTACTTAGTTAGTGCTCCCCTAGCTGTGACATTATTTATATAAATTGCAACACTGTTGCTCTTCATGTCATATATTTTGTCTTTAGTTATTCTAGCCTATAAATACCTTAGTTTATAATCTTTCTTTCTCATGAGTCTTGTGTATGTGTATATATGGGAATATACCAAATAATGCATTAACTTTACATTGAATAAACGTTTTGTTTTATCAAATCATTTTGTGGTCAGGGCACTTGTCCAGTTTTGATTTTCAAAACGTTAGCAGAATTTTTCAATTTTTGGGGGAATAAAATACAGGCACAAAAGTAGTCCTTAGTTTCTCATATCTGTTAAATTTCTAAAACGTTCAGAAGTGGCATAATGCTTAATAAAGCCTACATTACTAGTGTGCCTTGTCTGGAAGGCCATTCTAATTTTTTTTTTTTTTCTCCTCTCTTTTGCAGGTGGGCGGATGGAAAAGGACCCCTTGCTGTAGAATTTTCCACCAATGAAGTGAAGAGTTTGATTCGCGCACTCTTTCAAAATACGGAAAGAAGGGCTGCAGCTTTGGCTAGGATTAAATAAATTAATGTGGGGCTTATTTGATATTATCTGTAATATTATGTACATACAATTTCTGCTTGGGCACCAGTAAACTTGTTCTTAAGAATTGTGTTGTATGTTTTTTTTTTTTTCCTCTCTCCAATCCAACGACAGGAGCATGTTAGGTTTTAAAAAGATGGTGCTTATTTAACCAATCTGTAATGTAAATTGTATAATTTGTGTGGCCGTATTGACAAAGATTCCTTGGCCTGTGCTGTGTGTATCACATGAGGTTAATTTGACAGCCCACTTGTAATTCAAAATTTTATTTTTCTCTTTAAAATATGGTAGAAATTGGGTGACATCCAAGATCCTGAATGATAAAATATTCCATGACTGATAAAATATTCACCCCTTCTCCACAATTTGCCCCCTAGATCAGCCCTAGTGGGATTATAATAAAAAAAAAAGCAAGTTCCATGTAAAGAAACAGTTAATCTTTTTTTTAAAGATAATTTTGTAATGCATCTATTATTACAACAGTAGTATGTGGCGTGTACTGCATAGGTGTTTTTGTTTTTTATTCCCTCAAGCTTAGAACTCATGGACTTGAGACTGGTTGAGTTCAGTATACATCCGTCTGCTTCCCTCTGTAATTTGTTCCTTTATACAAAACAAACAAAAAAAAAAAATGTTCCAAGGGAATATTTATGCAAAAAAGAAGTTCTGAACTACTTCTTGAGGTGTAAAACTCTCTTGAAGGAGCTCCTGAAAGAGGCAGAATACAGAACCATAAATTTGTAAATTCTGTGAGCAGAACAATTTAAGGTTTTTTTTCGTTCTACATGCGTCAACCTCTCTGTTTTCCACTGTTGCATTACAAATGTTTCTTCAAGCATTATGTCCCAGATGTTCTGGTAGTAGCTTGCAGAGCTAAAACATCTGTTACCATGCTTTAATCTGTATTGTAGATTTGCCACATGATCTCCTATTTTTGAAAGGGACCCAGTGTATCATCTGATCCTAAAAGTGATACATTGAATAGAAGAGATCACTATAGCTTGTTTTAGTTTCACTGTGGATTTATATTTGCTCTGTTTTTGGACTATGCATGTTTAAGGGAGCCATATTCCATATTCCATGTTTTTTTTGTTTTGTTTTTTTTTGCAGTGCAATTGCAGATAACAGTTTGAGGTATCCCAACGGCAATCCTCTAACGTATTATATGCATTGGTAACATAAAGGTACATGATGGAATGTGCACATTTTTGGTTAAGTAAAGATGGATCAGTAACTGTATTAGGCATCTAAACGTAGTGTTGTTAAGATGCTTTATGAATGGAGTAGACCAGACCTAATTCATGTTACTTGTTTACAGTGTACAGCTAGGCTCAATATAGACTACAGGGTTTACCGCAGTGACTGTATTCAATTTACTATTGAGAGTGAATTAAGAAACATAGAAACATAGAATGTGACGGCAGATAAGAACCATTTGGCCCATCTAGTCTGCCCAATTTTCTAAATACTTTCATTAGTCCCTAGCCTTATCTTATAGTTAGGATAGCCTTATGCCTATCCCACGCATGCTTAAACTCCTTTACTGTGTTAACCTCTACCACTTCAGCTGGAGGCTATTCCATGCATCCACTACCCTCATTAAAGTAATACTTCCTGATATTATTTTTAAACCTTTGTCCCTCTAATTTAAGACTGTCCTCTTGTTGTGGTAGTTTTCCTTCTTTTAAATATAGTCTCCTCCTTTACTGTGTTGAGTCCCTGCGGTGCAGGTAGCAGGGTTTTGTCTAAGATAGTGTATGTGAGTGCGAGTTAGGCTGCCTTGGAGCTTGTCGTGGTGGGGTTAGTCCCCAGAGGGTCTGTGCCCGCTTTTTGTTTTACATTTTAAACTGTAGGTAGCATGGTTGTAATGTAGGTATGTGTAAGAGCATTCAGAAGTAAAGGGAGATAACTGTTAAGCGAAAGGTAAAGTTTATATACGGAGTGTCCATGTGATGGTACCAGGACCTTCTCCCTGTACTCGGGCGCTGTATCCTGGCCGCGACCCTTAGTGCGATTCGGGTTCAGCCGACTCCAGATCTGCGCTGAGATGGCGTGTAGGTCGCTCTGGCTCCACACGCGATCTGGTAACGAGCTTCCTCTGGGGTGCACCCTCGCCCTGGGCCCAGTGTTTGGCCATTTGCTCTTGTTGCAGGAGCGAATTTAGAGGAGGCAGTTCGTCGGGGGCAAGGTAAGTCCTCCCTCCAACCCCAGGCCGGGATGAAGGCCGACATCTCTGAACCACGGACCCGGGCTTCTCTATGAGCAGAGTCCTTCCCTTGGCGGGAGTACCGTGGGGACCTGATGACCTGCCGCCTTTTGTGGTGGCCGTCCCCGCGGCCATGTGGACGATGTCTTCGGGTCAAGTCCTTGGCCCAGGTGGGCCAGTGATACTAGGTGCAGGCTTACTCATGTACGTTAGGCCCAAGGGGGTCCTCTGCTCCCTTTCTTGCTGCCCCGTGTTCGAGCTTGAGGCTGAAGTGGCTGAGAGAATAGATGGTGCGGTTGCCATCGCTTAAGGTCTACTTCCCTGTGCTGGTGTGGCTGGCATGTGTGGGGTACATCCCCTGTCGCTCTGGGCCCGGGAGGGCCCACGGTGCGGGAGGTTGCGGCTCGGGTTTCCCAATTGTCTGAAGGTGGTATTCCATGTCTCCCCTCCGTCGGGGCTGCTTGTGTAGCCGGCTTTATGTGGCTCGGCCCAGCAACCTGCACGTGTAGTGGAGCCCAACAGTTGTCAAAGATGATGTCTATCGGGTCTCTCTTGTTCTCGTTAGTGCCCTGCCAGGTAGGCAGGATTTTGTATTGCTTAATTGGAGCAGGTGTGTCTGCTATTTTGGAGGTCCCGAGCCCCACATTGTTTGTGTGCATTGCTTGCAGAATCGGCGGTTGGGGGGTGAAGGGCACTCCATCTGGTGGGGACAGGGATATCCCCCACCGGTCTGGGGGGGGGGGGGAAGCTGTACATACTCTTGAGCAGTTGTGTGCGACTGGCGGGAAAGCGGGTGCCATTCCCTGCTGCCACTTGCGGTAGGCCTCACTGCGCTACTGCGGTTCCCGGTAATCCTGGGTATCGATTTTGGCATCGCCAGGTTCAGGTTGCGCTCCCCAGTATAGTGGTCCAATTTGCCAATGGTTTGTGGCATTTCAGCTCACATTATTCTGTGGATTGTGCGCTCAACGGCAGGAGCTCAGGCAGAGCACAACCTGTCTGCTTGCTGGTTAGGCTCAGCCTTCCTTTGTTTTGTTTTTAAAACACATCTGTCCAACCGGTTTTAATTTAATTATGAAAAATGTAAATGGAAAATTAGTTTTATCTAGTTGCCTTAATATAGGGTTTTTTTTTTTTTTTTTTAATCTACACAACTTCTGGCTGCTTGAATGCTGTAATGCACGAAGCCTACCATATGAGCCATCAATACCCTCTTCGAATCAGGATCAGATGAGAATCCGCTCTGTATAAGCTAGCAGTGAAGACTTTTCCTAGTAAGCTCAAGTTAGTATCCAAATAAAAAAAATAATAAAACCACTCAAGGCAAATACATTTATGCATTTCCAGACACACTTACTGTCCACACAAATTCAAGTGGTTTTGTCATTCTGTTATGGCCAGGCTGGTAACTTTGGACTCGGAATTCTGATCCAAAGGGCTGATTGCAGTATATATATATATTTATTTATTTTATATCTCGATCTACTCCATGTTAACAGTGTGTTGGGCAGAAGGTTGTTTTTTTTTTTCTCCCCTCAATCACCGTAGATCTGTTATTGCTTTAACACTGGTAGAGGAGCAGCGATGGGTACAGACATTGATTTCATATGCCTATACATAAGGCAGGCATCTCAAACTGCCCTCCTAACCTCCAAGGAGTTGATGAATGTCTCTGATTATTAAATTCAAAGTATTCTGGGAGTTGTAGGCTCTCAACATCTGGTGGGCAGAGATTGGTTATATGAGGGTATCATGTGATATAGGTAAATGAATTAGACAATGCATTTATCAAAGAAGGAACTTTTCAGAACTGCATTATTTGATAAGCCCTTAAAGAGACACCATAGTCACTAGACCAACTAGTTTAATGTAGTACTGCAGGCTTTTTAATGTGAACACTACCTTTTCAGAAAAAAGGCAGTGTGTACATTACTGCCTAGGAAAGAATAAATAACCAGGAGGGCACACTATAAACAATGGGGGAAAAAAAAACTAGAGAAAATGAATATGACAAATAATAAAGAGACTGGTTGCTCACTAGGAACACCTCTAGTGGCAGTCACTCAGACGGCCTCTAGAGTTCTATCTTGGTCAGCACCGACATTTAATGTCGCCATGATCTGCATGGAAGCGCTCAAAGCACCCTATAGCGATGCATTGATTCAATTCATTGATGCTCATTGGTGCAGTGCTGTGTTTTGCCACGCATGTGTGATCACATTGGCTGAGATCATCAAGTTTGAAAATCTCAGCCAAGGTGGCGGAGCGAGCTGCAAGGAGACCTGCATGGCATTGCGAAAAAGATTAGTAAATCACCTTTTTAAACAGGGACAAGGGGAGCCTGGGACCTAAACAGCACTGGTAGAGCTAGAGTTTTAGGAATATACATGTTTGTTTTCCTGAGGCTATAGTGTTCCTTTATATTTTAGATTTAAATTTTCTTTTTCTTCCATATAGCGGTAGATGTCTATAAGAAACATTATTTATATATATATATATATATATATATATATATATATATATATATATATATATATATATATATATATATATATATATATATATATATATATAGTAGATCAGTATATACAATGTACATAGATAGATCTGCTTTGATTTAAAAAAAAAAATATAAAAAAAATGTTGGCTTCTGACCATTAGGTGGAGCTCTATGATTGTTTGTTTTTATACTTCTGTATTTCAGTGTGCAGGCTCACTCTGGAAGTGTGCAATAACTATTGATTTTACTCACTTGTTTGTGTTTTTTTTTCTTTTAAATTTAACATAAGCCCCATAAGTAATGCAGGATAAAACCACAACATGTACCCGATCCAATATTTTTTTTAAACAATTTGTATTTGTCTAAAGGGCATTGTTAAAAGTTAATTTAAGAGCTTCCAATAATATTGGCTTGGGTACTCATTGTGGTTTAAGGTGCATCAAGCATGAATTAGGAAGGTCTCTACAGTTTACGGGTTAGTTAAACTATTAAGATAGTGTGAGCTTGGGTGCATAACGCCCCCAGTTTAGTGGGCATTAGTCTGTCCCCTCTTGGTCAGTATAACTTTTTCACGTTATTTTTACCGACTGCCATATAGGTTTCTATTTTTCTGCTATTATGTTACATTTTTTAATTAAAAATTACACACAATCTCCATTTTGCAAGAAGTGCACATGTGAATGTTTGGTTCCCTTGAAAGGGTTTACGAGCCCCTTCGGTGTGATCATCTGGGACATTGAGTGGTTCAAATATTTAGAAGAAAGATGCCTATAAAGGGTAAAGCAATACCTTTAGGGACTGATTGCAATAGGTGTGCAAATTGAAACCATAAATAAACTACACTGTATAGATAACCAGATTCAACGGACATATCCAAAATAAATATTAACTGAATACAATTAAAATATATATAGAATTCACTGGGTATTTGAATATGAAACATCACTTAAATAAAATACTGTATTCAAATATAATGTTAACACGGACTATGGACATCATAAAAGATGGAAAAAAAACAACTTTTCACATTAAAAACAGGTCATTGATTTCAGAAAATACAACTTACAGATATCTGACAAAATCTTTGCAAGCTACGTTAATATATTCCTAAAATTAATAAACATATCACAGCATTTAGTTTGAGTCCCTAATTAGAAACCTGGTGTAGGGATGTTGACTCTGAGTGCTAGTTTGTTTTGTGTTTATAAACTAGGATAAATGAGGTTCAATTGTTTACAAAGGATAGGAGGGTGGAAACAAATTGATCGTTCTAATATATAAATACACATCTGTTGCCAATGTAGTGTTAGATGTGGAATTGAACCAAAGTTGTCATGTGTATTAGAAATAAATATAGAATAAAAAGAAATTAGTGAAAAGGTATATAAAAAAAAGTAGATTAAAATATGTACACGTGTAAAAAATAGACTGAAATAAATAATAAAACAAAATAGAGAAAATGTATTTTTTTTAAATTACATTATAATATCATGTACATGGCTCAAAAGTCTCCAATTTAAAGATGTATTTGACTTCTATTTTATCAAGCTCTATATTACCTTCTCTCCAATTAACATTGATTTTCTCAATTATGGTAAATAAAATCCTGCCGGGTTAGATCTATGGGCTGTGTTAAAGAGTTTAGATTGATTGTGAGAAATAAAACCTTTCTGGATATTCCGGATATGTTCTCTTAGTTTAGTTTTGAAGGGTCTCTTGGGGCGTCTTACATATTGTTTGCAACATGGACACTCAAGCAGGTAAATAACGACCGCTGACATTACAACTAGTGTTAAATGTGATTTTATATCCTTTATGCGCAGTATTGCTTTTAACCCCTTAAGGACCAAACTTCTGGAATAAAAGGGAATCATGACATGTCACACGTCCTTAAGGGGTTAAAGGTATTCTGTTTCAAGTTGTTATGGCAATTAAGCACAATATACATTCTATACATCAATAAATTCCAGAGATCCCTTTAGGGATTGGATCTGGTTTATGCTTTATCTTGGAGCTAATAGGGATTTCAAATTCTTTGATTTTAAATAAATAACATTAGGATGGCCACGTAGCATTTTATTGAGTTGTATCATTTTTAAAAATGTCCCAGTATTTCTTTATAATGTCTTTAATCTATTTAGCTTGAGTAATACATCTAGTAATGAAAGCTGGGACATCATCATTTGTCTTCCCATGTACATTTTTCATCTGTACTAAGGTCCTGGATGTAGGAAGTTCTAAAGCTTTATTCAGGGCCTGATCCAGTA